GCGGGCAGAAAGGATGACTGAAGTGGAGAAACGGACCGTGAAGAGCCCCACCCCTTCCGCCACGGGCCGTGCGGCTTGAGTCAGTAATTGTCACTGGAGCGAAGTGTCATCAATCACGTGCTCTGAGCCATTCAGTTTTCATTCCACTACAGCTAAATCCTGAGACGGGGGTGCAGCGATGTATGTGGTCCCGGGACAAAGGTGGCAGCTAATCACCGCCCCCCCCCCCCCCCCCCCCGCCGAGGCGTGGCTGCGCCGGGCCGCTAACCGGCCGTTGTGCCCACGGAGGAATCAGCGAGGCTGCAGCAATGGGGACTTATGAGCCTGTGGCCTCTCACTGCAAACGTATGTATATTTTAATCCTCCCCCGACGATATTTCTCTGTTGATTTTAGAGAGAGAGGAAGAGAGAGGGAGAGACAGAGAGAAACGTCGATGTGGGGGACACACATCGATGGGCTGCCTCCTTGACTGTGCCCCTGACCAGGGCCCGGGCCGGGGAGCAGCCTGCCACCGAGGTCCGTGCCCTCGACCAGAATCGAACCCGGGACCCTTCGGTCCACAGGCCGGCGCTCTATCCACTGAGCCACACCAGCCAGGGCTCACTGCTAATATTCTGATAGCCCCTCAGCTGGGCATCTGTCCCATCACGCCTCACGCACACAGGGAAGGCGGCTCGCTGTGTGCCCGCTGTAAGCCAGGCACCAGGGAGAGACATCCAACAGGGAATAAATGGCAACACAAGTCAATCGATTGAAACAGTTTTGACCAGGGCTCCCCTTTTAAAGACTTCACCTCGCCCGGCCGGCCGGTGTGGCTCAGAAGTTGAGCGTCAACCTGTGAACCAGGAGGTCACGGTTCGATTCCCGGTCAAGGGCACAGGCCCGGGTTGAGGGCTCAATCCCCAAGAGGGGGCGTGCAGGAGGCAGCCGATCCGTGATCCTCTCTCATCACTGATGTTTCTCTCTCTCTTCCTCTCTGAAATCGATAAAGATGTATTTAAAAAAGCTGTACTCTCTCTCTCTCTCTCTCTCTCTCTCCCTCTCTGGGGTCAATACAAATAAACAGATCTCACCCTCAATGTCTCAGCCGGTACGCGAGGCCCTTAGGCCATGTGAGCCTCTACTTCAGCCCTGGGACCCCCAGACCAGCGAGGACCCAGTGCTCAGGCAGGCCACTCCGCGCCCACAGGCCACGCGTGGCTCCCCACTCGGAGCTCGGTCTCTGCCGCCCGGGACACACTCCGGCCGTCCCCATCATCCAATCCTCGTTATGGTCTAAGCCTGTTCAAAACCAACTGCCCCCCCGTCTCGCGTGACAGCCACACTCAGAGCAATCTCGTTGCCATTGGGGCTGCACTGCCCTGTGTGCTCCTCGGGGCGTCACAGGCCACGAGGCCCGGTGCACGGAATTCGTGCCAGGGGCTCGGCCCTCGCCGCCCGGCTTCGCCCGGAAGCTCATCCCGACGGTCGTTCGGCTGTTCGGTCTAATTAGCACGTTAGCTCTTTATTATATAGGATTACTCGCGCCTCTCCCTCCGTCGCAGGCAGGAAGACTGGGCTGCAGGTTCTACCATTTTCAGAGCCGGAAGTGTGGGAATTAAAGTCATGGGGAGCCCCCTCTCCCCCCAGAGCTTAGGAAAGGAAACAGCTGTGCACAGCCACGTTTTCTCTAACAGTAAACAAACAGGAAACACTGTGGATCCCGATTTGGGGGCGACAGGAAGTCACTGACAGCATCTCAAACTGACACGACATCATGCGGAGATTAAAAACGAACATCGTGACCACTGAGCAGCCAGACGGACGCGGGCCTATGGAATCGGTCATAAATGCAAAGAGCAAAACGCGGGCCTGCTTCTCCCATGAGGATGCGCTTACACAAAACGGACTATTGCGGACAAAAATTATAAAAGGCGATGGGAAGGGAAAGGCAGACTTCCAAGGAGGAAGACCGTCTCTCTTTCGCGCTGTGGTTTCTGTCACTGTTGGTAACACACAGCAATGGTGGGCGCTCCTGGGTCTCACACGCCAGGTCCCTCTACCCTGTCCTCCCGCTGCCCGGAGCGAGCCGACGGCTACGTCGACGGCTAATGGAGCAGATGTGGCGACAGGATGCAGACGGGCCCCGACGGGCGTGAGACAGAGCTGCGGCCGGGCCGGGAGTGTGGCTGCTGGTGGCCGTGCAGACCGACCCGGCCACGCTCATCGGATGCCAGCGACCGCCCCACTGGGTGACGCCCTCGGGCCATAGCTGTGTGCTGCTCACGGCTGTGTCCTCAGCGTCAGCAACCTCAAGGTGCGGCAGGCACGGGCGCGAAGCCGGAGCGGACGGGGCGGGCAGGGGAACACACGCTCGCCCGGCCAGAATCGGGATAACCGGGGAAGGGCTCAAACGAAGCCCTGGCTGGTATTGCCCAGTGGACAGAGCGTCCACCTTCGGACTGAAGGGTCCCGGGTTCGAATCCAGTCAAGAACCCAGGCCCGGGTTGCGGGCTCCATCCCCAGTGTGGGGCGTGCAGGAGGCAGCCGGTCCATGATTCTCTCATCATGGATGTTTCTCTCTCCCTCCCTCTCCCTTCCTCTCTGAAACCAATAACAATATACTGAAATAGACAACATGAAGCAAGATGCCGTTTTCGGACCCAGACTTCCCATAATCCTCCTTACCGAGCACGTCGCTAGTGGCCATGATGTCGCAGGTGTACATGGCGGCCATCAGGCGCTGCGGCTTCACCTGCAGGGCGTAGCGACAGGCCTCCTTCATGGTGGCGATCAGCTGCCCCGACAGGGGCCCGTAGCAGTCCGCCAGGGCCGGCTCCACCTTCTGCGCCGTCCTCTTGTCACCGGGCTCGGGGTGGCCCCCGTCTCCCGGGGCCCAGCTCGCCGCTCCCCCGGGCCCCTCTCCCCCCGGAAAAAAAACTCCCCCGGGCCCCTCTCCCCCCGGCTCCGGGCTCCCGCTGGCTCCTGGCTCCTCGACCTTGCTCTGGTCCCATCTCTCCAGGACGAAGCAGACGCCCATGAGGGGCTCCTCGCACATGGGGCCGGCGAGCGTGGCCAGCTGGAAGCCGCTCACAATGCTGTTGCCCACGTCCCGGGACCGGCCGGCCTCCTGGGTGGCGGCGCCCGCGGGGCCGGCCCACACGGAGCTCCGGAAGTGGGCGCTTTTATTCACTAGTATGTTGGGCCCACATTTCCTGGGGCCGAATGACCAGATTTGGTCCACGGTGTCCCTCCATTTCCTGCCCGTCAGGTGCTGCTCCAGCTTGCCCTTGAACTCCCGGATTCTCTCCTGGGCCCTCTGGGTCAGCTGAGCGCTCCGGCCCTCGCTCAGAGAGGACGTCAGCTGCTCCATGGAACGGATCACCTCGTGGTTTTCTTCCAGAAGCCGCGTGACTTCTTCCGGAAGCGGCACGGCCCGGACGCTGAGCGTGGCCAGTTTGTTGGGCGTTGTCATGGTGACCAGCCCATCGGCGTCCACCTGGACCCCCTCGGGGACTCTGCTGTGGTCGTCCCTGGCCTGGTGGATGACGGCCACCTTCTGCTGCCTGCCGATCTCCTCGTTGACCATGTCCACGCGGGGCGGTTTTGTGATGGTTTCTCGGAAGGGGATGATGGGTTCGGAGACACTGATTTCGATCTTTGCAAACCTACAGACAGGTCCAGGGGGAACATGACAGAAGGTTGTAACAAAAACAGCATCGAAACGCCCACCTAGAAATATCACACAATGAAAATTCTGCAAAAAAACAACAACAACAAAACACAGAAACATAAAAGTTCTTTTACTCTGAGAGAGAAATCACTTTCATTTTGGATTGAAAAGTCTAATGGGAACATTCCTTGTAGTAGGATGTCACTGTTGTGTTCGTTCTCAAAAATAAATAACCCATCTATTTCGATAAGAATGTTTTGAATGGGAAATAAATGCTTTAATAAGATTTGACACATGAGCCCTAGACGGTGTGGCTCAGTGGACAGAGTGTCGGCCTGCAGACTGAAGGGTCTCGGGTTCGATTCCCGTCAGGGCACGTGCACACCTTGGCTGCAGGCTCCCGGTCCTGGTCGGGGGCATGCAGGTGGCAACCCCTCGATGTGTCTTTCTCACACTGGCGTGTCTCTCTGTCTCTCCCTCTTTTCCACTCTCTCTAACAATCAAAGAAAAAAGTATCCTCAGGGGAGGATTTAAAAAAATAATAATAAAATAAAAAATAAAAATGCAAAATGATTCAAGTGCGGAAGTGAGTGTCAGGTGTTAAAAACTAAACCTACGATCCGATAACCCGCGACAGGTCATGTTTCGGGGAAGTCCGTTTTTTGATGGTCGGGAAGCACTGAGCGGCCAGGGACTGCGGCCGCCCTTGCCCGCCCTCCCAGCAGCTGACCTTTCCCGCAGGTCGTCCAGGCAGCGCTGCAGGTGGATCTCCCCGGCGGTGACCAGCACGTGCTCCCCCGTCTCCTGGATTAAGATCTGGACGCAGGGGTCGGCCTGGTTCAGAAGCTTCATCCCTTGGACGAGCTGGGGCATCTCACCTGGATGGACAGGACGACATGCTGATCAGCTACACGATGTCAGACTAGTACAATCTAAGGAGAAGGCCCCGCCCGGCCGGCGTGGCTCAGAGGCTGAGCGTCGACCTAGGAACCAGGAGGTCGCGGTTCGATTCCCGGTCGGGGCACAGGCCCGGGATGTAGGCTCCATCCGTGGTGCGGGAGGCAGCCGTCGATGATTGTGTCTCGTCACTGATGTTTTCATCTCTCTCTCCCTCGCCCTTCCTCTCTGAAATCTATTTTTTTAAAAAAGAGAATGTCCTTGCCATTGAAAGGAAAAGAACGAGATAAACTCTTAAAAGAGGAGTTTGTTTTCCTTGCAAGTGGCGATGAGAAACCTACCTCCTTGTAACTGATCTGTATAGACAGCTAACGTGCGACACTTACGTGCTCAGCAAGATCCCAAAGCGGATCCATACACTCCTTCCGACACTCAGCCCCTGAGCCACGGAACTTGGTCCACTGCACGTACTGCACGCCTAGACTCGGAACAGGGCTCTTCCCTAAACAGCCCCATAAAACCAACAAAAAGGCAAAAGCAGCATTTGAGGTGGTAATCAATCCAGGACACGGCTCCAGGGCCTCCTGTTGAAAATAATAATTTGTGCCGTAGTCAGTCTGACTCGTGGACAGAGCGTCGGCCTGCGGGCTGCAGGGTCCTGGGTTCGATTCCCAGTGTGGGGCGTGCAGGAGGCAGCCGATCCATGATTGTCTCTCATCACTGATGCTTATCTCTCTCTCCCTTCCTCTCTGAAACCAATAAAAATATATATATTAAAAAAAAAAGATACGGCCTATGGAGATGACATTCGGAAGATATTTAACTGGAGTCGTGTAGCTGTGAGAAGCAATGCTCTGACCTCCCAGGCGGGAAGCAGAGATGGCCCCATCCCTGCACCTGCAGGCCGCAGCCTCCCCGGGGAGCAAAGGTGCCTACAGAGGCCTCGTTCCTGAGAGAGGGGTGGCATTCCTCAAAGAGTCGGTGGTCTGGTGGCCTCCTGGTTGGGAGATCACCTCAGTTACAGGCCTGTGAACGGTCCCAGGACACGGCTGAAACAGCGTGCGAGGACTCATGTCTCACACGATGCATTTAAAGAGTGTCATGGCCCGGCCGGTGTGGCTCAGTGGCTGAGCACTGACCTATGAACCAGGAGGTCAGGGTTTGATTCCCGGTCGGGGCATGTGCCCGGGTTGTGGGCTTGATCCCAAGGGGGGGGTGTGCAGGAGGCAGCCGATCTGTGATTCTCTCTCATCATGGATGTTCTCTCTCTCTCTCTCTCTCCCCCCACCCCTTCCTCTTGAAATCAATAAAAATATACTTTAAAATCCTATATAATAAAGCAGTAATGTGCAAATTAACCCTCATACCCTCACAAGATGGCTGCCTATGACCAGGCTGTGTGGGGTGACCAGGCTGGCAGGGTGGCTGTGAGGGGCGACCAGGCCATCGAGTGTGGGGGGGCAGATAGGGGCAACCAGGCTGGTGGGGGAGAGGGGGTTGTGTGCAGTTGAGGGCGACCAGGCCAGCAGGGAGCAGGGGGGCAGTGAGGGGCAACCAGGCTGGCAGAAGGGCACTGAGGGGTGATCAGGCCAGCACAGTTAGGGGTGACCAGGCAGGCAGGCAGGTGAGTGATTAGGAGCCAGCGGTCCAGGATTGCGAGAGGGATGTCCGACTGCCGGTTTAGGTCTGATCCCTGGGCTTAAACTGGCAGTCGCACATCCCCCAAGGGGTCCCGGATTGTAGAGGTGCAGGCTAGGCTGAGGGGACGCCCCCCCACACACGAATTTCATGCACCGGGCCTCCAGTGAATAAATAAGTAAATGGATAAACATGCTTTTAAGAACGAGGTCGTCTTACTTGGGTGCTTTGGCTCGATAGCCACCCTCACGATCGGGGTGGCCTCGAAGCCGAGTGGGATGAAGGGCGGGCAGGAGGGCACGCTGCACAGGGTTGCGGATTTCAGCACGAAGTCCTGAAGGCCCCCGATTCCTGCAGGGAGGAGAGATCTGTGGGTCGGTAAAAGGGGATAAATTCCAAATGTACACGAGAGAAACGAGAGCATCAACCCGGGACACGCGTGACAGGAAACACACTAAGAACCTGCTGCCAGGAACCAGGCCGACTGCACCGACCTCTGGAGCCCTGGACACAGTGTGATTGCAGTGAAAGACCCAGAAATTCACCCGGCCGGTGTGGTTCAGTGGGTAGAGTGTCGGCCTGCGGACTAAAGGGTCCCGGGTTCGACCCAACCCCCAGGAGGGGGCGTGCAGGAGGCAGCCAATTAATCATTCCCTCTTACCACTGATGTTCCTCTCTCTCTCTCCCCCTTCCTCTCCGGAATCAATAAAAATCTATTTTTTAAAGACACAGAAATTCTGCTGGGTTTCATTTTCTAAATGAACGAATCCTGTCCCATCAGATCGCGCCAACGCGCCTACCCTGACCGCAGAAATGACCGTGTCCAGATACGCAGGTCTGAAAACACGAGTTATTTCTAATGATCACGTGTAGTTTTTAAAACGTATTAATTTGAGGAAGAGGAGTCTCTAATGAAATCATCTCTTTGGCACATCGACCTGCACACGGCTCCTGGCTGGTGGCTGCCTCCGCTCTAAGGCAGCGGTTGGTCGGCCACCAGCGGTCCGAGGGCCACGTGTGGTCCCTGAGGTCCGAAAGGTTGGCGACCGCTGCTCTAAAGGGCGTGTCTGTCTGTCTCCGAGGGGATGGGAGCAGAGAGAGGGCCCCCCCAAGAAAGATGGAGGGGTGCCCTGAACCTCACACCCAGAGCAGAGCAGACAACACTGTAGAACCAATGAAGGCCATTTTCAGTGCTTTTGGGTTCAGACAAAGATGAAGGCAGGTGTGGGGGGGAGGCCACCTGCTTCGGAGAGAGGGGCACAGGCGTGTAGCCAGCACCCACTCCCCCCTCTCGGGCTCAGCTGACAAGGGGGCGCAAAGGAGAGGCGTGGGTGCCACCCATGAGCCTCCAGCTGGGGGACAGGCGGAGGCTGCAGGCACGTGAACTTGGAAGGTGGCGGGCGGGTCAGAGGTGTCCCGGTCTGACCGCACAGCGTGGCACCCCCTCCAGCAACCCCGCCTGCAGGCACCCAGAATTCACCATCTCGCAACCTGTGAGGGTAGCTCCAACTGTAAGAAAACCTTACATTATGGCCCGGCCTGGCTCAGGGATTGAGCGTCGACCTGTGAACCAGGAGGTCAGGGTTCGATTCCGCTCAGGGCACAGGCCCGGGTTGCGGGCTCCATCCCCAGTGTGGGGCATGCAGGAGGCAGCCGATCCAGGATTCTCTCTCATAATGGATGTTTCTCTCTCTCTCCCTCTCCCTTCCTTCTCTGAAACAAAAAATACATTTTTTTAAAAAAACAAAGGAAACCTTTTGCATTACGCTGAAGCCCGTGGCCCCCCCGCTGTCCGTTCTCCGCCCAGCCTCCCCGAGGCCCCCAGGAATACGCTGCTGCCACTCTCACCAGCGGCCCTTCGGGGTCTGAAAGCATCTGCCAGGTCCCGTGAGCCTTTCTCTGCCTCACACTGACCCTCGTCAGCTCCTTCGGCCGCTCAGTTCACGGCACAGGGTGCAGGCTGCCCCTTTCCAGGCCTCTCGTGGGCAGGAGACCCGGTCAGACCCACGTCTCCAAGGAGCTACCGCAGTCCCTGTGCCTCCGGGGTCCGGATGTGGTCAGGATCCGAGTTTACTTATTTATTTATTTAAAAAATATTAT